ATTATAAATATTAATGGAAATATGCAATTTCGAACATTTGAAGTGCAGTTACTTAGGACAAAAAGCCACGTTTTCTCGCTAGTTTTCGAGTATTTTTGTGTAAAACACCCAGAAATGTCACAGAAATTTACATGATCTACATTTTGTCCGGATACTTTTGGCAGGTGAGTGTATTATAGTAAATTAATTATAGTAAATAAATTTGATTTACAAAAAAGTTACACAAAGCCCCGTCGATTTTTATTGGCCAATATTTGTATAACGTGACACCCCGCATTCCCCGCACTGAATTTTCAACACTGGTAAATGCTTGTGGTGTTCGATGGCTATTGATCATCAAACATATTAATATGTTACATCAATATAACAAATTATTATGTGTGGATTTTTTTAGTATCTTTATCATATATTTCAACGCATTGTAAATGTTGACAACAAAATTCAACTAACAATATATTTTTTTGAAAACATGAATTATAAAAAGAAATTTCTATTAATTTATCAGTTACAATGTAAATTTTTATGATAAAATTTAATAATAAATCAAATAACTTTAAACCATGATAACTTTTTTTTTATAATAAAATTAAACAAAATTTTTTTATAGTTCTATTGCTTAAGTCTTCTATAATAAATCTATACCCCCTATCTCATTTGATTATAAAGTTTTTCTATTAGCAATGTTTTTTCAATTTCTTTAGAACATATAAAAAAATTTTTTTTTATTTGGCAAGAAAAAAAACTCTCTATAGCTTAAAAGCTTGATATATTTTCTGTAATTTCCCTTGGTTTCATGTTTGTATCTCTTTAGTTGAAGGCTCTGATAGAATTTTTATTTTATATATATTTTATATATATTTTATTTTTTTAAAAAAAAGTTTGTTATTGATCGGCACTATGTTACATCAATAAGTTTTGATTTAATTAAGGCATCTCACACCCCAGTAAATGCTGTAATTAATTTTGACTTTTGACATCAGCAAATCAATTTGTTCTGCATGTATAATTGTGACAGATCCAAGATATGTTATGTACTAGTTATTGTATGGGTGTTTAAAATATAAATACATACTGTGGACTGGTGATAGAAACCACTTCCCTTCTATATATGGCAATAATTCATAAATCACTTCTATTTTAATCAATTTAATTAAATTTCTATATTTAGTACATATTAGCAAAATATTTATTATTTTTTTTTACTACAAACATTTTTCCGATTATTTATTATTTATCTTTACTTCAGGAAGTAACATGTTCAATTGTAGAACTCTTATTTTCCAAAGGAATATCAATTTATCCATATTTATCATTATATAAATAGCTAGAATAGGGAAGTAACAAATTCAATTCATTCTTGGTGAAGAGCCATGTAAGCAAAGCTGCTTACAAATTTGTATCACTTTAATATTAAAAAGTATTTAAGAGAGAGGAAGTTGAAGTCCTCTTCTCATCATGTTCTCACACATACTCCTTTGAAAATAATAACTTCTAATGCTTGTAATAACAATATTATAATCGAAATAATAAAGTTACTACTATTTTGGCAATGTAACCCCCATGGGTATCTTTAGGGTTTGTATTCACGGATACCATGAATACCATTAAGGGGGTTACACACTATTAAATCAGCAAAAAATCCCTTAAAAACGCAGCATGGTGGAATTTCTCTTTATCACATTTATCACTTTGTGACGATCTCAAATTTATGTTGTGTGACTATATAATT